GAGATATCAAAAAAGTACTCCAGAGTGTTGTTCAGCATGGGGGTGAGTAGAAAATGAAGGCTAATCATGTTTTGGGTGTACTATTCCTTTAACATCAACCCCTGGATTTCAACAGTCCATATTATTGGCAAAAATAAAGGGCCCCAAACTCAAATATCCCTCAGGGCCCCATGGAGGCTTGGGCCTGCATGAAAGACACTGAATAAGATTGTTAAAATGAGCGGATGGGACCTCAGGGCACCCTCTGACTACGTCTCTCAATGTTTTGTTTCAATAAACTCCCAGAGAACGAACACAGCTGCAGTTCTTCGTTCCCCAGCAGCAAAGCTCCGTGCTACTACCAGCTTCAGACTCACAGAGGTAGACCTACCCATTAGAATCTGTCGGTTTTCTGGCTGTTCGCTCTAACATGTCGCTCATTGCTTTCCTTTTGCAGAAACCTTCTCAGACTTCATCCAGGATCACTGTGATAATCAGAATTACCAGCTTCACTACAACGCAGCTGAAAGCACAAACCTCCACCTCCTGGAGCCGGCGGCCGCCCAACATGACGGATACGGCCTGGTGAAAACAGAAGATCCCAGAAGGAGCGTCAGTGCTGCTCTTCTGATCCCAGACAGACACGTCAATGGAGGTAAAACTAAGAAACTATATTTATATATATATATATATAGACGAAGTACTCAGCAGCAGTACTTGAGTAAAAGTATTGATACTCACTGTCAAATCTTACTCGACAACAAGTAAAAGTTACCCAGGCAAACATCTGCTCAAGTTAAAGTATTGAAGTACTCACTTTGGGAAATACTTAAGTATTCAAAAATACAAATTAAATGTTCTAATATCAGAACATTTGTATAATTTTCAGAATAATTCTAAAGAACCTGTAACTTCCAGGAAACCACCTGATGTACTTAGGAGTGTGCAAAATAATCGTCATGACAATGCATCGCGATTCACATTTTTGTGATCTACTGCGTCGATTCTTGACGCCAAGTATCGATTCTTAATTTTAAAAAAAATGAACAAATAAAATACATGAATGGTTGGCGCACATCAGCCAAATCAAGTGGAATACAACTTCCAGTCCAGCAGATGTCGCTGCGGATGTGTTACAAGCATGTCCGGCTGTGGGATACTGCGACGAGTCATATGAAATAAAACATGGAGGACACTATGAAAATTCGCCCCGCGGCTCCATCACATTTCAAGTTAGATGCTTGGATGCATTTTGGCTTCATAAACAAAGAAGGTAAAAATGAAATTGATATGATGCACGTCATTTGCAAAAGGGGAAATGTACATTTGAATGTTTTCGTTTCATTGGTTTAAAGGACCACTGAGGCCATGTAAACGGCTCTGATTATCCTTATTTGGTTATGGTAAGGGCTGTATCTTTATCCTACAGTGTTCAGTGAAAATATCGCAACGCATCGCGATGCATCGCAATATTTCAAGTAGGGGTGGGTATTGCCAAAGAAGTCACGATTCAATTCGAATAACGATTCACAGGCCACGATGCGATTCTATCACGATGCATCACGATACTTGGATTATTGCGATGCATTGCAATATTTTCTCCTCCATGTTTTGTTTTTGAATGACTCGTCTCAGTATCCCGCGGCTGGAAATGCTTGTGACACAAGGCAGCGTGCGTCAGCACATCCGCAGCATTATCTAC